CCACCCCCCTCCCCTCTAGAACCCTCAGTTTGTTTTTCAGAGTCCATCGTCTCTCATGGTTCAGTCGTGTTAATTATTCTAACAGAATTTTTTTTGTTTTTTCTGCCTCTTTGTAATTATCTTTATTATTACATCAATGAAAAAAATCTCAGGTTGGTCCCGTGGGTTTTTAACACCTCTCACCTCTCTAACGTGTCTTTTTTTTTAAGATTTTATTTATTTGTTTGAGAGAGAAAGAGCACAAGCAGGGGGAGTGGCGGGGAGAGGGAGAATCGATGCAGGGCTTGATCCCAGGACCCTGTGATCATGACCTGAGCTGAAGGCAGATGCTTAATCGACTGAGCCACCCAGGTGCCCTTAACGCTTTTTTTTTTTTTTAATTGAGCTATAATTGACATAGAAGTTTTAGTTTTGAGTGTACATGTAATGATTTAATATATGCATACATTTCAGAATGATTACCACAGTTGTTTAGTCAGCATCCATCACTGCCGTTACCAATTTCTTTCTTGTAGTGAGAACTTTTAAGATCTACTCTCTTAGCAGCTTTCAAATATATAATACAGTATTGTTAACTATAGTCACCATGCTGTACATTACATCCCTATGACTTACTCATTTTATAATTGGAAGTTTGTACCTTTTAACTTTACTCTCAACCCCTACATCTGGCAACCACCAATTTTTTCTCTATGAGTTCAGGATTTTGTTTTTTGTTTTTGTTTTTTAGATCCCACTTATAAATGAGATCATACAGTATTTGTTTTTCGCTGACTTATTTCACTTAACAGTTCTCTCAAGAATAGATGGAAGATGTTGTTACCAATGACAAGATTTTCTTTTTTTATGGCTAAATAATATTCTATTATGTATATATGCCACATTTTCTTTATTCATTCATCTGTCAGCAGATACTTTGTTTCCATGTGTTGGCCATTGTGAATAATGCTGCAGTGAGGGGCACCTAGGTGGCTCAGTCGTTAAGCGTCTGCCTTCAGCTCAGGCCATGATCCCAGGGTCCTGGGATTGAGCCCCGCATCGGGCTCCCTGCTCAGCGGGGAGCCTGTTTCTCCCTCTCCCGCTCCCCCTGCTTGTGTTCCCTCTCTCGCTCTCTCTCTCTGTGTCAAATAAATAAATAAAATCTTTAAAAATATATATATAATGCAGTGAACATGAGAGTGCAGATATATTTCTATATAAAAGAGACAAATGATAATGATTTTGTTTTCTTCAGCTGCATACCCAGGAGTGGAATTGTTGGATCATATGTTACTTCTATATTTTAAGGTATCTTCATACTGTTTTCCATAATGGCTGCACCAGTTTCACTCCCACCAATAGTACACAGGGTTCCCTTTTCCTCCCATCCTTTCCAGTACTCTAATACTGTTATTTCTTGTTTTTTTGGCTATTTTTTTTTTTTAAAGATTTTATTTATTTATGTGACAGAGAGATAGCGAGAGCAAGAACACAAGCAGGGGGAGTGGGAGAGCGAGAAGCAGGCTTCCTGCCGAGCAGGGAGCCCGATGTGGGACTCGATTCCAGGACCCTGGGACCATGACCTGAGCTGAAGGCAGACGCTTAATGACTGAGCCACCCAGGCACCCCTATGTTGTCTTTTTTAAATAAAATTTTTATTTGGAAATAACGTCAGACTTATAGAAGAGTTTCAAAGGTACTACATAGCATTTTTTCATACCCTTCACCCCATTTCTTCTAATGTTAACATATTAAGAAATCATTTAATCAAAACTAAGAATTAATAACTGTTCTACTATTATTAACTAACTGCAAGTTTTCTTTGAATTTCACCAGGTTTTCACTAATGTTCTTTTTATGTTCCAGGATCGAATCCAGGATACCACCTTGCATTTATATTTCCTGAATCTTCTCTGGTCTGTGGTAGTTCCTCAGTATTTCCTTATTTTTCATAACCTTGATATAGTTAAAGAGTACTAGTCAGATATTTAGTAGAATGCTTCTCAATTTAGTTACCTGATTTTTTTTTTTTTAATCTTTAGACTGAGATTATGGGTTTTGGTAAAATATACATAGTAATTAGGTATCTTTCTTATAGCATCATATTGGAGGTACATGATATTAATGACTTATTACTGGTGATTTACATGATTAACTCTGTTTATATGTTAAATGTTGTGTTTGCTAGATTTCTCTACTGTAAAGTTACTGTTTTCCACTAACCATATGTTATTCTTTGGAAGCGAGTCACTAAGTCTTGCCAACACTCAAGAGGAGGAGAATTAAATGAATATCATGATGGGGGAGTGCCTGCATATATTATTTGGAATCTCTGTATGAAAGATTTATAACTTCTCTCTCATTTATTTATTCAAGCATATATTTAATTAATATGGATTCAGAGGAGTGGCATCACCATGATGGCACAGTAGGAGACGCCAGCTTCTGTCCCCTCACAAAGAAGAAGAATTAGCTATCTACTAATGAGAATAGCTCTGAAAGATCTCCGGAGTCTACTTAAGAAGCATCAGCAACACAGTGGGGCAGAAAAACTTGAGCATAACCACACAAAAAGGGTAAGAAGAACAGTTCTATCACCCACATATATATACTCAACTAATTTCTGACAAAGGCATCAAGAATATACAATTGGCTGGGCGCCTGGGTGGCTCAGTTGGTTGAGCAGCTGCCTTCAGCTCAGGTCATGATCCTGGAGTCCCGGGATCGAGTCCCGCATTGGGCTCCCTGCTTGGTGGGGAGTCTGCTTCTCCCTCTGACCCTCCCCCCACCATGTGCTCTCTCTCTCTCACTCTCTCAAATAAATAAATAAAAATCTTAAAAAAGAAATATACAATTGGGAAAGTATAGTCTCTTAAATAAATGTTGGGAAAACTGTATGTCCACATGCAAAAGAATGACATTGGACCCCCCCCTTTTTTTTACACCATATATAAAAAAAACTGGAATAAATTAAAGACTTAGAAAACTAAGACCGGAAACTGTAAAACTCCTGGTAGAAAACATAGGGGAAAAGCTCCTTGACTTGGTCTTGACAGTGATTTTTTGGAATGTACACTAAAAGCACATGTAACAAAAGCAAAAATAGTAAGGGACAGGTGAGGCTAGGTAGGGGGCCACATGACTAGGGTAGTGGTTTGTGGGGGGGTGGATGTAGATACAACCAAGCTCACAGAAATCCCAGATGGGGAGAAACACACATGATACTTATAAGAACACCTTGTTTGTTCTCATGATAGTTACAAGTCTATCCTGTTTGTTCTAAATATACACATGATATTCACAAATTCACAAAGCCCTCAGTGGCACCCACTGGGTACCCCCTCACTCCAGAGAGCTCTTTTCTTTCCTTTTTATTCTCACCTTCACTTAATAAATTTTCACTTCGCTTCACCCTTTTGTCCTTGAGATTCATTCTTTGACTCTGTGAGGCAAGAATCCTGAAACCCTGCAACAATAGGGGTGCCTGGGCAGCTCAGTTAATTGTCTGACTCTTGATCTCAGGTCCTGATCTCTAGTCCTCATGTCTGGGTCATGAGTTCAAGCCCTGTGTTGGGCTCCACGCTGGGCGTGGAGCCTATTTAAAAACAATAGGGGCGCCTGGGTGGCTCAGTTAAGGGTCTGCCTTCTCAGGTCATGATCCAGGGTCCTGGGATCGAGCCCTGCATTGGGCTCCCTGCTCCGCAGGAAGCCTGCTTCTCCCTCTCCCACTCCCTGCTTGTGTTCCCTCTCCCACTGTGTCTGTCAAATAAATAAAATATTAACAAAAAATAACAAAAAACCAACCCCCCCACCCACAAAAAACAAGAAAACAAAAAAGCAAAAATAAAGGGGGACTACCTGAGATTAAGTAGTTTTTGCACAGCAAAGGAAACAAAATGAATGGGGATGTGAATTAGTATAGCCACTACAGAAAACAGTACGGGGTCCCCTCAAAACATTAAAAATGAAACTAATGTATGAGCCAGCAATCCCACTTGTGATTATATATCCAAAGGAAACAAAATCACTCTTTTGAAGAGATATGCACACTGCCATGTTCATTGCAGCATTATTCATAGTAATCATAATACAGAAACGACTTTAGTGTCTGGATAAAGAAAATATATATTTAGGGCGCCTGGGTGGCTCAGTTGGTTAAGCGACTGCCTTCGGCTCAGTTCATGATCCTGGAGTCCCGGGATCGAGTCCCATGTTGGGCTCCCTGCTCAGCGGGGAGTCTGCTTCTCTCTCTGACCCTCCCCTGTCTCATGCTCTCTAGCTCATTCTCTCTCTCAAATAAATAAATAAAATCTAAAAAAAAATAATAAAAGAAAATATATATTTATACACTGTATATATGAGAATATATATATATATATAATGGAAAATTATTCAGCCTTTAAAAAATAAATCCTGCTATTTGCAACAACATAGATGAAACTAGAGGACATTATCTATGTAAAATAAGCCAGACCAGAAAGACAAATTTCACATGATCTCACTATGGAATCTAAAAAAAAAACAAAAGTGTTGAACTCATAGTAGCAGAGTAGAAAGGTCATTACCAGAGGCTAGTGGGTGGGGAAGAGGGGAGATATTGATCAAAGGGTACAAATTTTCAGTTATAAGATGATTAAGCTTTGGAGACCTAATGTACATACAGCACAGTGACTATAGTTAATAATAATGTATTAACAAGAGAATGGATAAACAAACTGGTCTATTCATAGAGTGGAATATATTCAGCAATAAAAAGGAATGCATTACTGATACTTCAACATGGATGAGTCTCCTTTTATGAAAAACTTGGGGGGCGCCTAGGTGGCTTAGTCGGTTAATCATCTGCCTTTGGCTCAGGTCATGATCCCAGGGTCCTGGGATCAAGCCCCACGTCGGGCTCCCTGCTCAGGGGGAAGCCTGCTTCTCCCTCTCCCTCGGCCTGCCATTCCCCCTGCTTGTGCGTGCGCGCTCTCTCTCTGTCAAATAAATAAATAAAATCTTTAAAAAAAAAAAAATGTTAAAAAAAAAAAACTTGGGAAAGATACAAACTGATCTACGGTGAAAAAAGGCAGATCAGTGGATGCCTAGAGAAAGGAGGGGCAGAAGGGCAGTAGTACAGAGTACATAAGTAAACTTTCGGGGGTGACAGATATGTTTATTTTCTTGATTGTGGTGATGGTTTCATTGATGCATACATACGTGCTAACTGGACCTCAATAAAGCTATTAAAAAATAATATATACTTGAGGGGTGCCTGGCTGGCTCAATCAGAGTGTGTGACTCTTGATCTTGGGGTTGTGAGTTCAAGCCCCATGTTGGGTATAGGAGCCTACTTAAAAAAAAAATGTTTATGTGAAATTTGTTAGAGTAGATTTCGGGGTGCCTGGGTGGCTCAGTTGGCTAAGTGTCTGCCTTCGGCTCAGGTCATGATCCAGGGTCCTGGGATCGAGCTCCACGTTGGGCTCCCTGTTCAGTGGAGAGCCTGCTTCTCCCTCTCTCTCTGCTGACTGCTTCCCCACATGTGCTCTCTCTCTAATAAATAAATAAAATCTTTAAAAAAAGAGTAGATTTCAAGTGTTCTGAACACACACCCACACACACAAATGGTAACTGTTAGAAGTATTGAATATGTTAGTTTGTGGTAATCATTTCACAATGTGTTCTTGTATCAAAAGTGCCACGTTATAGGCTTTAAATATATACATTTTTTAAATTTAATTAACATAATAGTGTATTATTAGTTTCGGAGGTAGAATTCAGTGATCCATCAGTTGCATACAACACCCAGTGCTCATTACATGGAGTACCCTCCTTAATGCCCATCACCCAGTTACTCCATCCCCCCACCCACCTCCCCTCTGGCGACCCTCAGGTTGTTCCCCATAATTAAGAGTCTCTTATGGTTTGCCTCCCTGTTTTCCTCTTAGTTTATTTTTCCTTCCCTTCCCCTTCATCTATTTTGTTTCTTAAGTTCCACATATGAGTTAAATTATATGGTGTTTGTCTTTCTCTGACTTATTTTGCTTAGCATGATACCCTCCAGTTCCATCCACATCATTGCAAATGGCAAGATTTCATTCTTTTTGATGGCTGAGTGATAAATATGTACAATTTTAATTATAAATGCATGCAGATAAAAATCAGTCAGTATGAATTCATAGCTCTTTTTTATTCCTGAGTTATAATCCAATACTATTATTTATTTTGTGTTCTAATTGTTTCATTTTTAGCCATTGGGAGCTTTGTCAGCTTGGTTCCTGTGTCCTTCCGACATGCCCTCATCTTTTTTTTTTTTTTTTAGTTTTTGAGTACTTCCTCATTTTCTAGCACTAAAAGACTAAAAGGTGCCCCAGGCTCATCTTGGATTTTCTGTGCCCTGATCCTAGATTTAGTCATTTCCTCAAAAAGCTATGGTTCTTATGCTGCCACCACGGCCTCTTCCTCCTCTTCCTTCTTCTTCAGCTATCTTAACTGTTTTTAAGTGTACAGTTCAGCAGTGTTAAATATTGTTATGGACTTAATATTTGTGTCCCCTTCCATCCCCAAAGTCATTTGTTGGAACCTTAACCTCCAGTGTGGCTTTATTCTTTATTTTGTGATGGGGACTCTAAATGTTAGAGGATTTTTGTCCCCTTAGTTCCCAGGTTCTTGGTCACGCTGCTTTGAAGAATGAAGAGGTAGACCAGATGGAGAGTGGTGGGCAGCAAAGCAGTTTGTTGAGCAAAAGTATAAAGCTCCCGCAGAGGGAGGGGGGTCTGAGGGGGTTGCCCCCAGAGTTTCTAAGTTTAGGGGGTTTTGTGAGCTCTTTTGCAGAACTATCTTCAGCAATCAGGGTGTGCTGAGTTGTGCCAATTAGGGCTTTGGTCATGTATCTGTGTACCTATTAGGTTAATGTCTCTGTGCTGATGGTCTTTTTTTGCTGACGTCTGGGGGCTTATGTCTTCACTGCCCCTTGACTGTGATATTGACAAATGCTTTTGTGGTTAATTGTCTTATTTTAGGACGTTTTGGAGAAGTCATTTCTGCAAAGGCTGCAAAGCAGAATGCTAGTGTGGTCCTGTCTAAGCTGCAAAACAGGATGTCAGTGCTATTTCATTTTAGCTGTCCTGACTCCATATTTTCTTGTTGGGGACCCTGGCTCTGACTACCTAACTGTCCAACTAACTCCTAACATAAGGAAATAATTAAAGTTAAAATAGGTCACGATGGTGGGGTTCTGATCTGTTAGAATTAGTATCCTTATAAGATGAGCCACCAGAGAACTTGCTTGCTCGCTCTCTTCCTGTACACATGCACTGAGGAAAGGCCACGGGAAACCACGGTGAGAAGGACACTGCAACCCAATGGGGGAGTTCTCAGCAGATATCAACCCTGCAGGCAGCTTCATCTTGGACTTCCAGTGTCCCCAGCTGTGAGCAAATAAATTTCTGTTGTTTAAGTTACCCAGTCTAGGGTATTTTGTTATGGCCGCCTAAGCAGACTGATACACACACGTATATTCACCTTGTACAACAGAGCTCCAGAAGTTTCTCATCTTGTGGCACTGAAGCTATAACCATTAAATAACTTCCCCATTCCTCCCGCTCCCCAGCTCCAGCAATCACCATTCTATTTTCTGTTTTTATGAATTGACTACTTTAGATATCTCATGTATATGGAATCATAGAGTATTTGTGTGTGTGTGTGATGGACTTATTTCATTTATCATAATGTCTTCAAGATTCCTCCATGTTGTAGAGTGACACAATTTTCTTCCTTTTTAAGATTGAATAATATCCCATTTTACGTATAGACCACATTTTGTTTCTGTTGTCTTCTTTTTAAGGGCATCAGCATTTGTTCTTATAGGCAGCTAAATTACTGGTAGATCTTTTTGGTTCTGTCAGGCTTTACTTTTTTTTCCCTCGGTTCATGCTGATCAGCACTGCATCACCTCGGGTCTCTACTGGCTGTTGGCCCTGCAGGAGACCATCTCAACGTGGGGGCTGGCAGGGGCTTGTCCCCTGCCTGTGCAGCCTAGCTCTTAGCCAAGGACCATGGTGGATTCCTATATCATTTTTTGGACACCTCTCTCGGCAGTCTCTCATCAGTTACCCTGCCCTGCAAACCCCAGGCACGTAAACAGCTCAAAACTTGCATCTCTGCCTCCTCTGTTTAGGATTCATTTTCCTGCTTTGGGCCAGAAAGTGCCCCGAGGTAGGGTAATGCCAGGGTGATACTGGTGCTCACCTTTGCGTGTTCTGTTCTTTCAGGGATCACAGTGCTGCCTATACTTCTCTGCCTGAAAACAGTTGCCTTGTGTGTTTTGTTGTATATAGTTCTTTGGCTGAAGAGCAAGTCCAGTCTTACTCTGTCATGGTGGGAAGCAGGACTATACTAGGTTTTTTGTTTTTTTTTTTAATTATTTAAACTTTTATTATTTTAAAGTAATCTCTATGCCCAATGTGGGGCTCAAACTCGTGACCCTGAGATCAAGAGTCACACACTCTACCAACTGAGCCAGCCAGGTGCCCCAGAGCTATTCTAGTTTTTATTAGTATGCTGTCCCTGCTTTTCATCTCTTTCCTGTCTTGAACTTATGTAGAGTTTTAATTCCATTTCTGTTTTCCTTATTTTAACTTTTTATTAATGTTTCACCTATTAGAAATATATTATTCACCCTTTAGATTGTATTTATTTGATTTGTTCCCCTTAGAGTTGTCTTTGCATACAAAAAGAAGAGAAAAAGGAGAGAAAATTTAATGGAATTTCTGACCTGGTCAAGTGTAAAGATTAGAGCACAATCGGGAAGATATTTGGGGGAACAGAGGGGTACAGCATATTCACAAAACATATATCTGGGAAATAGCTCATTTTCCCCATGATGCCAGGCACATGCAGCCAACAGTCCATTTCTCTTGTCACATATGCTTAACCAAACGCTCCAACATTTGGCATGCATCTATTTTCTCAAAAGGAAACAAAGCAAATATAAAATCTGAGATAAATTCATAACTAAGAACACTGTCATTTTTATTCCAGTTTCCACAATTGAAGTTGCTGGACTTCAGAGCAACTTCTCCTTGCTGAATAGACTTAGTGACATGGGAATCAATTTAATATGTATTTTATGAGTATCTAGAGAGAGTGGTGAGGCAAAAAAAAAAAATCACAGTTTAGAATATTAATTTTTTATTATTGTTATGTTAATCACCATACATTACATCATTAGTTTTTGATGTAGTGTTCCATGATTCATTGTTTGTGCATAACACCCAGTGCTCCATGCAGAACGTGCCCTCTTTAATACCCATCACCAGGCTAACCCATCCTCCCACCCCCCCTCCCCTCTAGAACCCTCAGTTTGTTTTTCAGAGTCCATCGTCTCTCATAGTTCGTCTCCCCCTCCAATTTCCCCCCTTCATTCTTCCCCCTTCATTAGAATATTAATTTCTTAATCAGCTCCAGATTTGGAGTCATTTCCTGAAAAATTACTTCTGTTTTTATCATGCTGGACCATTTGAAAAAAAAACAAAACTTGAAAACCTTCAAATTTCCTGCTTGCAGTTTAGACATTGGGCTGTTTCCTCACTGACATGTGTCTCTTCACACTTCTGTAATTTTACTTTCTCAACTGAATGTGAATGATATTAGTTGGAGATGACTGACAATGATATTTATTCTGTGTTACAGTTGTCTACTGAACCTCAAGCCCAGAATGACTACAGACCACAGCAAAAAGGTAAGTTAATCAAGTTAGTGTGCAAAACCATGCACAGTGCCCATAGACTAAGGGATGAGTGGGAGGTAGAATAAGTTTGGAGGAGAGGATGCAGAAAAATCAAGGGTAATTTGAAGGAATACATTTGGTTCAGTTGGAAGTCCAGGCTTGGGATATGAAAATCTGGTATACGATCAAGGATCTGATCTTAGTTAAGTCTCAGGTAAAGTCTTTTCTGACTGTTCACTTCTAAGGTCTCATCTATGAAACCCAAGCTAAGGCTGTTTAAATTCTAAGTACCTCTGTTTTTCTGACTATTAAATTGGGAGAAAGACCTCAGTAACTTTGCTAATGGGTAATAGTAAGAGTTTGTCAGAAAAGAAGCTGATTCACATTACCTAGGTTCCCCTCCCACAGTATTGCACCAGAGTGTGACAGGGATAGGAAGAAGGCATTAAGAATACTACAAATAAACAAGTCTGTTGGGAATCACTTGTAGACTCTACTATTTAAGAAGCAAAAATACAATAAGAAGAAAATAGCTGGTTTAATTAACATGTAAAATTGGGTTAATTTGAATTCAGCTGGCACAGCGGATATTAATGTTGGCTTTTTTGTGTGTATGATATTCTGGCTTAAGCCTGTGTGCTTTTATTTCTTCTTGCCCACAGCATGAATAATTTTATTTTTAAAAATCTGATAAAGGCTATTTCAGTCACTTAATTTTTGCTTTGCCAAGTGCTTATGTTATGATCACGTTGAAAAAGGTTTTTGTGTGTATCCATAGTGAAAGACTTAAAAGTGAATGAAATAAAATGTTGAAATACTTCTGAAAAAAAAAAATACTACAAATAAGTATTCCCAGTGACTCTGGGGATTTGAGGATGAAAAAGACATTTTTACGTGGAGCCCTGAGAGAACAGTTTCTGAGACAGGCAGATCATAGTATACGAGCCAAAATTAATATTTGATTTTATATCTTAGGCAATAAACTCCCATAAAGTATGTTCTTTAGTACGGCTTCATCAGCTTTCTCTCTTTTTGCTACATACTCTTATTATTATAATTTTTAGTGTTGTTCTTTGAAAGCATTGCTATAATTTGCTACATCATTCCAGTATACTTGGACATTGAGATTTATTTTCATTACTATAATTTATATGGCATTGGATATTTTCATTTATATATAGATATCTTTCTTTTGGATTATATCTGTACCAATTTCTAAGGAATAGAAACGTTAAGTCAAAGGAATCTACATTCTAGAGTTTAAGTGCAAGGTCACACAGCTGGTGGTAAGTTGAAACTTGAATATAATTATTTTGATTTCTAGGCAAGTGATTTTTTATTTATATACAGTTCACATTGCACATTCTTGTTTGCTGCCAGTATGCTCATTTCCACCCCAGCTTTCCAGGGTACTCTACCTGGGAATAGGAAAACAGACTAGGAGCTTTAAAATTAAATTAAAAATCTCTTTACAAAATTATTACATGTTTATTATGGAAAATAGGGAATCTATGAAAGCAGATATAAGAAAACAAAAATCACTAATAATTTTACAACAACGTGGGATTATTACTGTTACTATTTTGATCTATTTTTGCCTGTCTGTGCCGACGTACTATATATACTCTACTAAGAGGCTTTTAATATGTATATTTCTAAAGTAAATTTAAAAAAAATTTTAAATTTCGCTTAATTTCTTGAATTGGATTGTGGTTACAAAAATGCAGTTAAGTTTTGATACCTTTTTTCATTTCGCATAACATCTAAAATCATTTATTTCATTTAATATTTTACTATAGTGAAAATGTATTTTCTTTTCTTTTCTTTTTTAAGATTTTATTTATTTGTCAGAGAGAGAGAGCTCACAAGCAGGGGGAGCGGCAGGCAGAGGGAGAAGCAGGCTCGCTGCTGAGCAAGGAGCCCCATGCGGGACTCCATCCCAGGACCCTGAGCCAAAGGCAGACGCTTACCCAGCTGAGCCATCCAGGCATCCCGAAAATGTATTTTCTTATGTCACTAGAAATCTAGTGTTTTTGGATGTATCAGTCCAAATATTTATCATGCAGAACTCTCTCATTTTAAAGATACCACTCACTATAAATTTTTCCTTTTTAAAAAGATTTTATTTATTTATTTTAGAGATAGAGAAAGAGAGCATGAGAAGGGGGAGGAGTAGAGGGAGAGGGACAAACAGACTTCATGCTGAGTGCAGAGCCCAACACGGGGGTTGATACCATGCCCTTGGATCATGACCTGAGCCGAAATCAAGAGTGGGACACTTAACCAACTAAGCCACCCAGGCACTCCTCACTATGAATTTCTTTCTTTTAAGAAGTTCAGAATGCTAGGGCGCCTGGGTGGCTCAGTCGTTAAGCGTCTGCCTTCGGCTCAGGTCATGATCCCAGGGTCCTGGGGATCGAGTCCCACATCGGGCTCCCTGCTCGGCGGGAAGCCTGCTTCTCCCTCTCCCACTCCCGCTGCTTGTGTTCCTGCTCTCGCTATCTCGGTCTCTGTCAAATAAATAAATAAAATCTTTAAAAAAAAAAAAGTTCAGAATGCTAAAATAAATTTAAAAAAAGTGTGGGGTGGGGGGCCCTGGGTGGCCCAATTGGTTAGGCATTTGACTCTTGATTTTGGCTCAGGTCATGGTCTCAGGGTTCTGAGACTGAACTCCCTGTCGGGCTCTATGGTGGGCATGGAACCTGCTTAAGATTCTCTTTCTACCTCTCCCTCACTTAACAACAATGATTAAAAAAAAGAAGTTCAGAATGCTTCATGGATATACACACATGTCTCCAGGGTAATTTATCTAAAATTTAAGTAATAAAGTGAGGCCCCAAATAGAATTAATTTCCAAATTTCCAAATTAAAGATTACCAGATAAAAAGGGTCAAAACTAGCCCTTAAATTCTTACTTTATACATTTTTGTTCTTTACAAATAACTCCTACATTGTCAGACTATGAGACCACTATGATTTTGAAATAAAAGTGGGTTAAGAAGAATTTCCATTTTCCAAATGAAGGAAAATAGCATTCTTATATGTAACATAGTTAATATGAAGTAGTGTTCCATCCTTAAATATATCAACCTAAACTCATTGTTTTTTCAGTAATGACAGCTTACAAAGCATTTCTGAGATGTAGGTTATTTTATTTTTATTTAAAATGTAGTTATTTAAATTTTGAATAGGTAATACCCCCACATGGTTCAAAACACAGAAGGTGCAAAAGAAAACAAGGTAAAAAGTATCCCTCCTCTTTTTTTCTTCAGGGACTTATATCCCCTCCCCAGAGGCAAACAACATTATCAGATTCTTTTTTTTTTAAACTTTATTTTTTATTTATTTATTTTTTTAAGATTTTATTTATTTGCGAGAGAGAGAGAATGAGAGACAGAGAGCATGAGAGGGAGGAGGGTCAGAGGGAGAAGCAGGCTCCCCGCCGAGCAGGGAGCCCGATGCGGGACTCGATCCCGGCACTCCAAGATCATGACCTGAGCCGAAGGCAGTCGCTCAACCAACTGAGCCACCATTATCAGATTCTTGTGTCTACTTTCAGAGATACTAGCATACATTGTTCTGCAGAATGTTTCTTTCCCTGTACTATATATCTTTTTTTTTTTTAATTCCCTGTACTATATATCTTGAAAATCACTTCATATCTGTAAAAGAAAGCATGTCTTTATTCCTTTGTTAGAAGTTACATATTCACTTTATGGCTATATCAAAATGTATTTGACTGGTCTATAACATTTTCTCCTAAAAATACTGTTGCCATGAATTGGCTTCTAAATATGACAGTTTTCACATGGGTGAGTATCTGTAGGAAAAAATCCTCAAAGAGAAATTGCTGGATCAAAGGATAAATGCCTTTGCAATTTTTGTAGACGTTGCCAAATTGTCCTTCAAAGAGGTTGTACCAATTAATATTTTCACCACTAAAGCGTGAAACTGTAAGTCACAATTTCAAAAGAAAAAAGTTTTTTTTTTTTTTTTTTTTAAAGATTAATTTATTTCGGCGCCTGGGTGGCTCAGTCAGTTGGACATCTGCTTTCAGCTCAGGTCATGATCCCAGGGTCCTGGGATCCATTCTCACATCAGGCTCCTTGCTCAGTGAGGAGCCTGCTTCTCCCTCTCCCCCTCCCCCTGCTTATGTTCCCTCTCTCTGTCAAATAAAGAAATATATTATATCTTTAAAAAAAATCTCTAGGGGAACCTGGTGGCTCAATCAGTTAAGCGTCTGCCTTTGGCTCAGGTCATGATCCCAGGGTCCTGGGATCAAGCCCCTCATCAGGCTTCCTCCTCAGGGGGGAGTCTGTCCCTCTCCCTCTGCTCCTCCCCCCTTCTCATGCTCTCTCTCTTTCAAATAAATAAAATCTTTAAAAAAATATATCTTTATGGTTAAAAAAAGTTAAAATAAACAAGGACAATAACATAAATGTAAAGAAAGAAAGAAATCAAGCAAAAGTTTCTGTGGTCCCTAAAATATCCCAGAGAAGGTTAAATTTGGACTTTGATCAGTTAAGGATATCTGTAGTAGTTTATATTAAAAAATATAAACAGAATGTATAGCTTCTAAACTAGTAGTGGGAAAAGAATAAATGATCAATAATACAAAAAGAAAAATAGAAGATTAGGTATAAACACAAATATATCTGCTGTTACATGGACTAAAAAGGAACTAAATGCTCCTGTAAAAAGATGAAGATTGTCAGATTGAATTTTAAAAAAGAATCTAATATATGCTGTCAATTAGAAAAAGATCTAACGTAATTCAGACAAGTTGAAAGTAAAAGATGGAAAAAATGTACTGTGCAAACATTAACTAAAAGGAAGCTAGTTATTATTTAATTATTATATTGATTATCATGCAAAATAGACTTCAAGGCTGGAAGAATTTCTTGGGAGCAAGAGGGTCATATTTATAAGGACAAAAGTTACAATTCAAATATATATAC